CCGCGCCCTGAAACCTTTCCGTCTCTCCTCATCTCGAGTCGTCAGCGGGCATTTTGGGGGGGGGGGGGGGATCAGGTGAGGTGGGTGTTTGGGGGCGGGAAGAGGTCTCTGCGGGCGTGCGATACCCGAACATGGGATATTATTACGGGCGCGACAGGCGAGCTGTCTTTTTCTTTGACATTCAAAGCCTTGACTTATCTCCTTCGAGATACATCACTTGCTGTTGATCAAGAGAGACCATCTTTCCATCTTTCTTCGGTGGAGTTTTCTCCGAGTGCCTTACGGAATATAGGTAGTCCGACAACGACTCCACACATCCCGTGGTGAATCGAGCCGGCGCTTGTGCTTTGAGCCTCCCTCCACGGGGGCATACCATGGGCTGTGGTATAATGTGGAGATCAAGCAACGCAAAGGCAAAAGGCCCAGAGCCCCCTTGCTCAAAAGCGCGCTGTCGAATGCCTACCTGTACAGCCCGTAGTGGAATGAAGGAAACCCCCGAGGAAAGAACGCGGTCTTGGATTTCCCGTGAGCAACTGTCGGGATTTCCTTTAATGAAACCACATTCCGCCACTATCTCTTCCGTCCAACACCGCGCGTTCCTGCGGACTTTCTATAGTACCAGTAGTGATTTAGAGTTGCGGGACACAAGAACCGAGGAATGTAAGAACCGTCGATCTCCGGTACCTACCTGCACACCATGCACGTCAAATGATAGGTGGCAAGCTGTTCTGTATCCGTAAGGAAAACCATGCCTAGATCAAAATATATACATGTCTCCCTCCCAAGGACGCCATTGATACTCATGCAACCATAAGGGACTTCACAAGTCCGTTGGGAGAAAAATAGCATTAGCGGAGCCATATACCTTTCGTGTTGGGTTGTTCTTGGGCGTTCTAGTCGTTTGAAAGTGTTTGGATCGAACGCGCGCACGGATTTCCCGGTCCGAGGTCAAAACGAGACGAGTCCGAGATGGGAGGAAAAGGTGAGCGGAAGTACTCCGTATAGAGGAGAAGAGAATGAAGAAGAAGAAAAACGCATCATCGATAAGATCTCCGAGTAAGTAAGATAGCGAGTGTCATGTTTCAGAAATGAGGGAGAAGGAGGAGGAGGCCTAAACCAAGCAAGGCAAATCCATCGTCCCTTTTTCTGAACTTCAACCCAATAAATCCAAACCGTTCTCGCACCTTTCTCAGGACGCGTCTCATCTTGTCTTTTTCGAAGCTTCTATCTACAGTTGATGGATGGGGCGCCTGACTTTGCGAGCTTGTCGTTTGGGTACCTAACCGTAGCAAGAGGGCAGCATGGCGAGCGAGCCTGAAAAAGTCTGCTTGTCCTCGTAGTGTGGCATCGTAATGCATTGTATACCAGACGGTTAATGCATCGGGGATTGAGAACTTAAGATTGACGGGGACCTTCTGTCGGGCGTGACGGACATGGATGGATGTCGAGCCGCGACGTTCGGTGAGCAGCGAGAACAGAGACAAGGAGCAAAAGGTTGAGAGACCTCTAGACATGACACATGAACCTCGAGGCAGGTCGCCTGTGCATGACACAACCGCGGGAGAGACGGGGAATCGGGGTCCTGGTCAAGGAATCCTTGATCGTCCGGTCTCTTCCTTGCTCCCTTCTCTTATGGTTCCTGCAATCCCAACGTCTTACGTCTCTTCTCTGTAATGGAAAGCGAACCGATGTGTGCGTGCGTTTGATCAATGCATGGCAAAGGTGGATGGTATGCACAGAGGCTTCATCACCACCATCAGCAGCACCCAAAGGCTCTATCTTACGTAGGCCTAGGGGTTGGTTCTCCGCGAGTCACTACCGCTTTCTTGGCGGTGACTGGACGGAATAAACGAGCCCGAAGATTGCCATCTGCGAGAACGACGATGGAGCAAATTCGTCTTGGCAGGGCCAGCTCAGGCATCTGGTTCGAGAATCTGATGCAATGTCAAAATGCCCAACAGCGCTGCCCAATGACTTCCATAACATTTCGGTATACGACACTTCTATGATGGACTCGGTGATGTTGGGAAAAGGGAATTCGGACGCGTCAAAACCGCCTAGACACTGGGCGCCTGTAATCCCGGGGCAATAGTCTGGAACGGCTAGTAGTTGACGACAACGGCATGCGCCGATCTAAGGGTACGTATTTTAGCGCATGCCTTAGGCGAGGGTGGGGAAGGCTTGCCGTGGTGCTTGCTTTGTTTGCCTCGAGGGGTTGAGGCCAAGGGGCAGCAAAGAAGGAAAATTAGAAAAAAGGTTTCTGCCGATGTAGCGTTAGCTGACCGGACCAATCACGGCGAAAAACGTGACGATGCTGGGGTTTCCCTCACGAATTTGGGGCGCCGGAGGGGGGATGACGAGGAGAGGATTTGAGGTCTCCACTTTTAGCGAGCCTTATTCAGCAGGTGCTTTTTGGCATTTGTGGTGTCTGGAGTTCTGGGCCGATGATTCGGCGATAGGCTGGTGGGTTCGAGGCTGGTAGACTCAGTGTGGAGGTGAGCTGAGCCGCAGCCGCCCGAGTGATCCAGAGCGACGACGAGTTCAACCCGAGTTTATTCGTGGAATGAGGCCGCAAAAGTAAGCCTAGCACTAGTTAGAGACGTCGACATGTCCTGTCCCCGACAAGGGCAAATCGAATAAACGCGCCGTTCGACCACAAATAGCTTGGCTCGGCCTACGGCTTGGCTTCTGAGGCCTGGTGGAAACTCTTCACCACTGGAGGCTAGGACTTGGCATTGGCTGAGTCGGCTTCCCCGTGGCGCGTGCAGACCTGGATGCCTGTGGCTCGTGTGGTGGGTTTGCAACCTTGCTTTGGAGGTGTGGCATCCCGTTCGGAGAAGTCTGTCTGGGCCGCCGGTTGGCTTGGGCTGGGCTGCATCATTTGTCTCAGCTTTTAATTGATTCCCATGTTCCACAACCCTCACAGGAATGTGTGCCCGCGTAGCCGTGGGTGGCACCCCCCGCTGAAAGTCATCGGCAAGTAAAAGTAGGTATGAGCAGAGGCACTCAATTGAGCCTCCCGCAGTGCTGCTGCTGCTGAGGCGGCGTCGAGTGCATTTGGCAAATTGCTCTGCATTGGCGATGACTCTCGCATTTCTTTGGACCTGTGGACTATGACTATGTTGCCAATGCACGAACATCGTGGCATCGTGATATCGTGGTATTGGTGTCGTGTCGTGGATTGATGCTGTAGTAGGACGCGGGATGCGGGTGTTTGAGATGCCCGCGCTTTGCGCCCAGCGATTCGATCTGCGGTCACCCTAGCCACACCATATTCCATACAGAAAAGCTGCTAGGATGGTAACAAGACGAGTCAACAATATAAGTCTTGAACAGGGCGATGGAGACGAGGTCTGGCCATCGCGTCAGACACGTATCTGTGTACAGATTTTCGCAGTGTGTCGTGACCGGGAAGACCAAACCAGTCTGACCATAGCGAGAGATGGGACGGTTTGCGGGGCCCTGACTGTCGGGTATAGGCTCGTCATTTTGGAGACAAGCTCACGTGAAGTGGTTGCCGACACGACCGAGTCCCAGACTTAGTGCAGACCCAGACCCAGTCTCCGCCGTTTACCTTCACCGCATGATGGGTCCTGAGAAGCGTTGCGACTTACGTACAGGATGGGGGGAGCCTCAGGGAGGAGGACCATCGTCGTCGGAGTGCGGCACCAGCCAAGCCATTCCTTGAACGTTGTATGTTTGGGCCGTGTGCCGCGCCGGTTGTATTTGGACTGCGTGACTGCGTGACTGCGTCTAGAAGGGAAAATAGAAAGGAGACAAGGCCCTGGGCTGGGGGTTCCCGAGCGACGCGGCGCGTAACCTTAGAAGTTAGGGCAAAGGTTGAATATGCAAGCTCGTCAGCGCCAGCGGCCAGGGCAGGGTAGGCTGGAGAATTTGCTCGATTTTATTATCCGCTTAGGTCGAGAGATAACGAGTCTTTATGTGGACCGCGGGAGGTAGAAGAGATGCCAGCCAAGCCCAAGAGTGAGCCAATCCGTCGAGGAGATCAGCATGGCAGCGAAGCAAGCAATATCAGCTCTTCGTGCTTAATATGAGCTTGTGCCTTCTAGATCCGTGTTCCCGCGAGTAACCGAATGCTGCCAGCCTCCCAGGAGGGATCCGAAGTTCTCGCCAGAATTGATCGCTATACGCCGTGGCTCTGGAGGTCATGATGGCCAATGGGCTGTAGCAGCTTCGGACTGATCGATCACGATGGTGCCAAGTTATGTACGGATACGGATAGGCATAGGCTTCCATGCGGCTGCTTGGGATATGCGATGTTAGCAGTGGCAGTAAAAGGAGAGGGAACCTAACTTGCTGGCTGAAGTGCGTAAGAAGATACGTACCACTCGACCGTTTCTTGTGCGTGCTTGTTCATTTCCAGCCCAGCGAGAGAGGGAAAAAAGGGGGGCCGAAGGGTTCGAGACGGGCGGACGGTATCCATACGGGTCCAGAGGGACGAGCACAGAGCAGAGACCATCTACGGGAGTACATTCGTACATAGTAAGGGAAAAGCAGAAAATATCCGGGCTACCGGGGGTGTGAGGCTTGTACGAATTGGGAAGAGTGAGAGAAGAATGGAGGACAGAAGAAACATGGATGGGCCCAGCGGCTGTGTGCCGTGCCACTCGACCCCGAAAAAGGCTCTGCGGCCCACAGACTTTGCCAGTACGTACCTGTAGCACACCGTGGCTAACGCCAAGGAGTCAGATCAGTCTCCCCGGCGGTACGTCAGGTTCGACAGGTTGGGCGGGAGGCACCAGATATGCACGTAGCCTCAATACGTACTGTACGTAGTATCTCCTGCCGCCGCAGAGCACCTACCTTACCTCACGACTCTTCCTCGCTGTTTCTCCATCTGTGGCCTTCGCCTGTGTAAGGTGAGGTACCTTCCGGTGAGCCAATCTATCGAGGCAGATAGATTGCGATGAACAAAACATGGACCTCGAGACCTGTGCCCACTCTCTCTCCCCGACTTTTATCTTGCCACGACTCATTGTATGCGTGACTTCTTAACCACAAGCACCAATATAATTGCACGGGACGGACTTTGGCAGCCCGCCCCCCGGCACCTTATCCAGAGCTTATCCATCCTCATAATCACGCATTTCCATCGTACGGAGTACCTTGCTATATCCTTCCCAGCCTTATTAGCCGCAAGGTTCCTAAACCTCGCGAACTCGGTCTTCGTAGAGAGCACCTACCTTTTTCTCTCGCCCACCTCAGCACCAGACCACCGCCCTTCTCCCAGTTCAATTCTCACGTCGCCTCGGTACCTCTCCCACCGTGATACCGTCACCATCTCTTCCACACCACACACTCCCGCACGCGCGCACATACACACATACAGACACACACACACACACACACACACACACACACACACACACACACACACACACACACACACACACACACACACACACCCGACGCACACACGCACACGCACATCGGCACAGCGTGTACGCCCACACATTACAGTGTCTATCTTCCCCATCCCTTGCGCTTGACGCCGCTGTCAGTCGGGTACCCTCGCACTGCTCCAAACGGCCTGCATATGCGAGAGATGGCTGCATCCTTCCTCCGCCTACCTTGCACGTACATATTGCGGTACAGCCTGGCTACGCACACAATCTCTCTCTCTCTCTCTCTCTGCCTGGTCCAAGCCAAGGGTTGGGGGAACGGCAGGCAACCCCATCCACACCCCCCTGTTACGGGCATAGAGACAGACGCAGACGCCCCCCTTCACTTGGTTGCTGTCGCAATTCGACTCTCACACCTTGACCCCTGACGGAACCCCCCTCCTCTCCTCTCCTCTCCGAGGACACCTCAGGTAAGCCTCCGGCCTTCCCTCCCCACTCTGCCTAATCTAGCCATGATCCCCCTCCAGCCTGGCGACGATGGCGGCGGCGGCGACCGGATCCCATCGAGCTATTTGCAGGTCCCAAGCAGAGCCCACAGGTGCACCCGCGTCATGTGTGTATCCTGTATCTGCGGCTTGGTCCACACGCGCACGAGAGCACTACACTACTGCGTACACAATAGCGTACGACTACCTACGGATACGTCTACGAGTAGTCCGTCATTTCTGTCCGCTGGCTAACGTAGTGTGGACCGCACTGGAGGAGAGAAAAACAGCGTGCGTGCACCACCTGCTCAAACCGGTCCAACTGAAGAAGTGAGCGGGCCCAGCCACTGCGGCGCCAACTGACGATAGCTTCGTATCGAGAAGCTTTTCCTGCTGGACTCAACCACCGATCCGCCATGATCTCTGCAGATTGCGGGTATGAGCTTGTTCAACGATTGCGAAGTCTGGTGCGACACGAAAACAAAGACAACACACCAAATAGCTCGCCCACAGGTCCATTCGGTACGGTGGTTTCGAAGAAGCCGACGAACCACCATGCCCATCCCATCACGATCATCAGGCGCTGAAACCGAAGATCTCCACCGGGGGAAGGTGCCGAGGAATAAGGAATGCAAGTGTGGTGCCTGAAGTGTGACGGGAGAAGACAGCATGCCAGCCAGAACGCCAGCGACAGGAACACCAGCCCGCGCAAGAGAAGGGTGCAGTGGGAAACTCTCGGGAAAGGTAAGGTAATTTACAACTGACTAGCGAGCAGTTGCGGCACGGATGAAGTCACATCGGCGTCCTGAGTGGATGGATGCAGCGGTAGCAGCGATGACATGAACCAAACTCAAAGTTCGTCTTTTCTTGTGTTGGTTTTGGCTTCTGGCATTTCTTCGACGGTGCGATCCACTCCCCCGATCAGGATCTTGGAGCTTGGAGAGGAGGGAGGGGGTCGCCAGCCATGCACTCACCTGCCCTGGGCGCAGCCTAGCCCAGCCCAGCTCACTCAGCCAGCCAGCCCGGGCGGCCAGACACACCAGTGGCACCACAGAGCCGGACTCAGACTCGGAGTTTGATGGATGGGTGGATGGATGGTACCTCCCGTCTTCTCAGGGGGCGCTTCCCCGGAGAAGGGCTGGGAAGGGCTACCTATCCGTACCCTTCGGTGAATATTAACCTCCCTGGGCCTGACCTGAGGTGAACGATGAGGTGACCTCCTGGAACTCCAGACACGTGGGACGTGCCGTAATGCAGTTTAGCGGCGGCGGCCTTCAACCGCAGCGTTTCTCCCTTTTCTGCTGGGGGGGATTATTCCATTATCTTTATTATTTCGGTGCGTCGCTCTCTTTCTTTTATTGTTTTGTTTCTGATAATTTGCTCCCTTCTCTGACAGTCGTTTCGGTTGATCTTCAGCGTACCCGTCGAAATCAGTCTTTGCCAACCTTTATTGCGCAGTACGGTCAGAAGCTTGTTAGTCACGATTCAAAATGGTCCGAACGGGACGACTGGAGAGCTGTCTGATTGATTACCCATGGCTATGTGCCATGTCGCGCGCTGGCAGCTGGCTTGAACATTTGCCTCAGGCAAACCCGTCAAGACCCATACCCTCGGTGTTCTTCCGCCACAGTGACTGGGAAAGATCAGAGAGGATGGCGCCGCGATGCGATGCGACATGGCTGTCTCTTGTTTCAAACTGGCTGCGAATGGCATGTCCAACTGGACGGTCGCTGACATTCCTTGTCCGTAGATCCTCGTTTGGACATGCCAGAGGGGGCAGCTACAATAAGGTAGGTAGCTGACTCTAAAGATGAGCGCCAAATGGAGGATACCCGCGCACTTGTTCCGTCCGCTTCCTCTGTTTTTGAGATGCCCCAATCGCACCGTGTCTCTTTTCTGGCACACAACGCAGAAACGTGATAGTGTAACAGAGCATCAACCCTCGCGAAGCGTGGTCCAAGGCTGCATCACGTTACGCAGCAGTATGCGACACTCACATCTGAGTGCGTTTATATGATGGCAGACGGTCACAGTCGGTTTTGAGGCCTTCTTGTCAGGTTTGTTGGAAGCTTGCCTCAGATTTTGTCGGATTATCAATGAGCTTGCAATACCATTGGGGAGCAAGGTTTGGCGATGCCTTGGCATCATGTCTGGCCCTCTCGTTGATTTGACGCGTGAGTTGGGTGAGGGTCCCACTGAAAGCCGCCGCACCGCCAAGTTTGAGAGAGAGTCTAAACAACAGTCGACCACGCGATACCTATTAGGGGCGGCTCATCGGTGTCCTGGGCCATTAACCTCGGAAATGCCAGGTAGCTTGGAGGTGGACTACTTTTGTTATGGCACATGGCACATGGCTCAGGCTCTGGGTTTTGGGGCCATCTCACGTCTTGGTGCATCTGATGACAAACGAAGCAAAGGGCGTCGAGCTGCCGACTCGTACTTTGCAGTAGCAATGAGAAGAAAGAAAAAAAAAGGGGGGGAGGGGGTCGGGTCTGTCTGCAAGATGTGTTTCGCTAGACTCGCAAAGGAATCATCCGCACCCACATCTTTACCACAGATTTCCGCAGTGAGGTCGACGTCTCCATACGCCAAGGTACGTTATCCACCTCTCTGCTCCCCATTTCGGAGCTGCAGGAGCCAAGCACCAAGCAAGCAAGCAACCAAGAGGCCGATGGATGGATGGGTGGATGGATGATGGATGCCTTCAGTGTAAGGTAGCCATGACCCATGGCAACTTGGGAAGTATCCGTACGAATAGAGGAGGGGAAGAGAGGGAGGGACGAGGGGCGACATTGCGTTCAGTGGGAGTGCCCGCCGCCCGCCTCCATGAAATCTGTACGTATGGTACAAAGTACTTTGTACTCGCACTCCGTACCTGGGCCTGGCAGACGGCGTGGACGTGGCCATGGTTATGGACGACGGGGGGGGAGAGAACATGGGCATGGATGGATGGATGGACGGATGGATGGGCTGGGCGGATGGGCGTGAGCGTGAGCGCCCACGGGTGGTGAAGCGTGAGAAAGATGGAAGAAGCGTGGGTGTGGCACCGTGGGTATCGGCTCCAGCTAAAGGGACGCTAGCCAAGTTGCTTTTTCAGATGAGATGGGCTGGCTTGTTCTCCATCCGTGCCCCGTCTTTCACCCCGGCAGCAGCATGCACCCTAATGAGACACCCATCCACACCCCTGGTCCCCATCGTCTCGTTTCGCTCGCTATGGATCAGCTCTGCCGCACCCCGTGCCGTCGCCAAAGTAAAAGAAAAGGAACGGAAGGGTAAAAGAGTACGTACTTTCCGAGGGTTAGGTGAGTTTGCGAGAGTGATGGAACCTATTCTCGCAGCCTCCCAACTTCCCTCTCACCTTCTTTTCCAATTCCCCAACTTCGCCCTGAGCTACAACGGGGGCGCTTCGATCCATCGCTGTCGGGTCTCGCATCCCTTCTTTACTCACAAAACATCATCATTGTCTTGTCTTGAGCGCTTTCTGCGCCCTTGCCCCATCACCCTCATCATCATCCTCTTCTTGTTTGGCTTTTCTGTAGCTTTTTGGCGTGTCGCCGCTCCAGACTTTCTCGCCCAGCCTCCCGTTGACTGGTTGCACGTCGAACCTCAATCCGTTCGATTCGTCGCAACAACTGAGCCCGCGCCCTTGGAAGCCGCGAGCTGTTCCTCAACCACCACAGACAAGACCAAAGACTGTATGGCCTCGCGCTTTTAGTACAAAATCTTTCTCTAAGTAAAACTACCTTTTATAATTGCGACGTCGTTGCTGGTAGAATCTAGCGCCTCTTTGCGCGATCGTCAAGACAATCCATCGACGCATTCACAGGAGCACGCGCACACCTAGTACGCCTCGACTCCCAACACAATGGCAAACCATCACCCTTCGCCAACCATGGCCATGCAGGGGCAGCAGCACGGCGGCCCCCCTGGACCCCCTCCGCCGCCGGGCATGCAGCAAGGGCAGAACTATGCACCTTCGCGACAAATCCTCCTCATGAACGAAGCTGTCTGGATGCAGATTGGTAAGTGCATCGCCATCGTAGATACGCGCAGCTCGTTCTAACAATTGATGCAGGCAGTTTTGCTGAGCTTCTCGGTAACCTCGAGGAGGCAATGAAGGCCTACGATCGCGCCCTCCAAGCAAACCCGCAGTCGGTCGCGGCCATGAATGCCATCAGTTTGATCCTGCGAACGCGCGAAGAGTTTCACAAGGCAGTTGACTACCTGCAAGCAATACTCAAAATCGACAACACCAACGGCGAGGCATGGGGCAGCCTGGGTGCGTAACAAGTCCCCGCCCTATGCTCAACCAACGCGACTCACGCTAACTGCTCACAGGTCACTGCTACCTTATGATGGACGACTTGCAGCAAGCCTACGCCGCATATCAGTCCGCCTTGGTCAACTTGAGGAGCCCCAGGGTTAGTAGCGCTGCCTCCGGCTCTCTGGGTTCTCCAAATACTAATACAGCACAGGAGCCCAAGCTATGGTATGGCATTGGTATCCTTTACGACAGATACGGCTCTCTTGAGCATGCCGAAGAGGCCTTTTCTCAGGTTATGCAAATGCAGCCCGACTTCGAAAAGGCCAACGAAATTTACTTCCGTCTCGGAATAATATACAAGCAACAGCAGAAGTACGGCCAGAGTCTAGAGTGCTTCAAGTACATCGTTAACTCCCCACCCCCTCCTCTCACCGAGGAGGACATCTGGTTCCAAATTGGCCACGTTCACGAGCAGCAGAAGGATGTAAGTATCTCCTCGTCGGCAATTGACAAATACCGCAACTAACGCCCGCATCAGTACGACAGTGCCAAGGCTGCGTACCAGAGAGTTCTGGAACGCGATCCTAGTCACGCAAAGGTTCTGCAACAGCTGGGCTGGCTTCATCATCAGCAGAGCAGCAGCTTCCAGAGCCAAGAGCGAGCTATCGAGTTCTTGGAGAAGTCCGTTGCCGCCGACCAAGGCGACGCGCAAAGCTGGTACCTTCTTGGTCGGTGCTACATGTCTCAACAAAAGTATCCCAAGGCATATGAAGCCTACCAACAGGCCGTCTACCGCGATGGAAGGAATCCGACTTTCTGGTGCTCTATCGGAGTACTGTACTACCAGATCAACCAATATCGCGATGCCCTCGACGCGTACTCTCGTGCCATCCGGCTCAACCCCTTCATTTCCGAGGTCTGGTATGACTTGGGCACATTGGTAAGTGCAAAACCTATCAAGATCGAACAGCTTGGGAAAAAAGAAAAAAAGGCAACGTTACTAACCGACTTAGTACGAATCTTGCAACAACCAGATCAGCGATGCGCTTGACGCCTACCAGCGCGCTGCAGAGCTTGACCCTCAGAACCCTCACATCAAGGCTCGTCTGCAGTTGCTGAGAAACGGTGGCGCCAACGGAGGACAGCCTCCCAGCGCTCCCCAGCCTGCCGATGTCCATCCCCAGGCTTACCAGGTCGGCCCTCCGGCTCCCCAGTGGGGAAGCTCTGCTCCTCAGTCGCAGCAGCAAGGACAGCAGCCTCCTCCGCCTCCGGGACCCGGCGGTCCTGGAAGCAACGGCTGGGGTCGGCTTGCGGACATCAACCCTCCTCCTCAGCCACCCAACCCGTATGAGCAGCGTGGCGAGTTCCGTGGCCCAGCTCCCCCCATGCCGCGACAGCCTAGCCCGAGACAAGAGCAGCAACAGCAGCAGCAACAACAACAGCAGCAGCAGCAACAACACGGTGGTCGCCCGCCGTATCCCGAGCCGCTTCGTCGGATGGCTAGCCCGCCATCTCACTACGCAGGACCGCCGCAGCCGCCTCAGCAGCAACAGCAGCCTCAGGGTCCTCCCACGTCTGCGCCGCGCACCATCAACCCCAACTACACTCAGCCGTCTTCTGCTCAGATGCCTCCTATGAACGTCGGCCCCAATGGCCCTCCTAGCCAGCCGCCTCACTTCCGCGGCACCAACAGTCCCCGGCCTGGCGAGAGGCCCATGCATGACAACCGCATGCCCTCCCCCAAGTCGGCGTACCCCCAACACCAACCTCCTCCGCCACCGCCGTACAGCCATCACCCTGACGGCCCCACCCCCGGACCCATGGAGGCTAATGCCCCGCCTCCACCTCCTCCGGGCTCGATCACCGGAGACCCTGCATCGCAGCGCAATGAGCATGACCGTCCTCCTTCTGTGGGCCCCAAGCGCATGCGTGAGTGGGAGGAGGAGTCCTCTCACAAGCGACCGGCCAACGACGAGAACCGAGCCAGGCTCGACGACGTTCGCCCTCGCCGCCCATCGACTCCTCCGGGACCCCGGGACCAGTACCGCCGCAACTCGTCAGAGGCACGCCGTTTTGAGGACCAACGCCGTGCCGAAGACCAGCGGAGAGCGGATGATCAGAGAAGGGCAGAGGACATTCGGAGGGGCGAGGAGCAGCGCCATGCCAACGACGGGTACCATCCGTCAGAGGCCGCGCACCACCAACCCAACCACCCTATGCCCAACAACCATCTCCCGCCGATGCAGTCTGCTGCTGCGCCGATGCAGAACATCCTCCATGACGGACCGCAGAACGGACCCGGGCCTGCTTCCGGGCCCGCTCCCGGCGTCAAGGAGTACCCCGCTGAAGAGCGCCCGCCTCTTGAGCACACCCCTGCTCCCCGGCCTCCGCAGCCCAGCGAGCCCGAACGTGCAGCGAGAAAGATGGACGTTGATGAGGACTACGACGATAGCGGTGAGGATGAGAAAAAGGGCGCCGCCGCCACTACCAACGGGTCGGGTCCGGCTCCGGCGTCGGGAGAGACTAAGACGCCTACGAGCGCAAGCATCAACGGCCTGATGGGGCCAACTCCCAAGGTTGAGTCGACTTAATGGATCAACGGCTTTGACGTGGTTTGCTTTGTTTTATTTGTCTTGAGGGATCCTGTGTTCTCTTATCGTGTATACCATTTCCTTCCTGTTCCTCGTTCTATCTCCAGAATCCCCTTTCAACGGGATGCTGGTGTGTCTACCTGAGGCACTACGGTAGCTTATGAAGAGAAAAAGTAGTGGTGAATCTAGACTGCTTGAATGACTAAACAATATTAAACCATATTTGGCTTCACTTGTCCAGACCAATCGACCCCTTAAAGGGGCGAATGAACGTGTGCTCTCAGAAAAGTTCTGCATCGTGCAAATGGCGGAGACTTCAAGTGTTTGGCGTGCTCCTTGCTGGGATGCAATCCAGTCCTCAGGTACGTGCCTTCTCTCTACACCTCCACTGATGGAAGATTCAGGCTGATTGTGGACCTCGGAAAAGACGCTTGGACCAGGCAAGAGAGAAAAGTGCGGCAAGTGATTTTTTTTCGTCGCTATTGCGCTCACGTGATTAGGGTGGTGCGTCCCGGCAGGAGGAAATCCGCCCACACGACATTTTTGCAGCCTCAGCTATCCCGACTTTGAGAAATTTCCCAATCGTCACTCCTCTCGATTGAACCCGACAACTAACCTCCAGGTCAATCATCAAGATGTCGCACCGCAAGTACGAGGCACCCAGACACGGCGTCAGTTACACCTATTTCGACAATTACTATAACTTCGGCTAACGTTACTCAGTCTTTGGCCTACCTGCCGCGCAAGCGTGCTGCCCGTCACCGCGGAAAGGTCAAGTCGTAAGTTTTATTCACCACTTTTCGCAATATTTTCTTCGAGACTTGGGCCAAGTGAAGACAGAGGCTGACAATTGCAATCCTTCGCACAGCTTCCCCAAGGATGATGCCAAGAAGCCCGTCCACCTGACGGCCACCATGGGCTACAAGGCCGGTATGACCACGATCGTTCGTGACCTCGACCGCCCCGGCGCCAAGGCCAACAAGAAGGAGGTCGTCGAGGCCGTCTCCATCATTGATACCCCACCTGTACTACCAACGCAGCCCGCTTGGCTCTGTGCCTATGGCTAACAACTCTATAGTTGATCGTTGTTGGTCTTGTGGGCTACATCGAGACCCCCCGCGGCCTGCGCTCGCTCACCACCGTCTGGGCCGAGCACTTGAGCGACGAGATCCGCCGCCGCTTCTACAAGAACTGGTACAAGTCCAAGAAGAAGGCCTTCACCAAGTACGCCAAGCAGCACTCCGAGAACTCTGGCGCCTCCATCACCCGCGAGATCGAGCGCATCAAGAAGTACTGCACCGTCGTCCGCGTCCTCGCCCACACCCAGCCCCGCAAGACCCCCATCAAGCAGAAGAAGGCCCACCTCATGGAGATCCAGATCAACGGTGGCTCCGTCGCCGACAAGGTCGACTTCGGCTACGGTCTGTTCGAGAAGCCCGTCGAGGTTGGCTCCATCTTCGAGCAGGACGAGATGATCGATGTCATCGCCGTTACCAAGGGTCACGGATTCGAGGGTGTCACCGCCCGTTGGGGTACCAAGAAGCTTCCCCGCAAGACTCACAAGGGTCTGCGTAAGGTCGCCTGTATCGGTGCCTGGCATCCTTCCCACGTCCAGTGGACTGTCGCCCGTGCCGGTCAGAACGGATACCACCACCGTACTTCCGTCAACCACAAGGTCTACCGCATTGGCAAGGCCGGTTCCGACAACAGCGCCTCCACCGAGATCGATGTCACCAAGAAGACCATCACTCCGTACGTTTCTGCTCTAACGTGTTGATTTCATAGCAATTTTACTGACATTTTTCACAGCCTCGGTGGCTTCGTCCGCTACGGTGAGATCAACAACGACTTCGTCATGGTCAAGGGCTCCATTCCCGGTACCAAGAAGCGTGTCATGACTCTCCGCAAGTCCATGTTCACCCACACCTCGAGAAAGGCCCTCGAGAAGATCGACCTCAAGTGGATCGATACCTCGTCCGAGTTCGGACACGGTGCCTTCCAGACGCCGGCGGAGAAGAAGCAGTACCAGGGTACCCTCAAGAAGGACCTTGCTGCTCAGTAAATTCCTTCTTCTCATCAAATTTCTTTGTATCATGGTCATGGCATCGGTGTAGAGGGTTCATGTTACTTTTCGGATGGTTTGGGACACCTTTGAGGTTAAAATGAGTGCCGAGAATTCAAAAGTCAAACCAATGATACCTAGATGACCAACCCACTTGTAATCCCTCGTGTGGCTTGTGAAATGTGATTGCAATTGTACTCAACTTGGAAGACAATTGATAAGTAGAAGCTGTAGCAACAGCTACAGTGCGGAGTACAAAATTCGTTCAAAAATGTGGGCGCTTAGTATCGACAGCCAGCCAATACCGAGATGGTGGGGCGGCAAGGTCTGACCAGCGGGAGCGACGTGAGGCGTAGCTAGCCGGCCCCTCGTTGCGTCATTCTATCTGTACCCAACCATGGCGTGCAGCTTCCCGCGAACCAAGTTCGCGACCTTGACACCCCTCAGTACGCTATTCAGCTCGTCCGCAACCCATAAGAAGCGAATGAAGACCACTACCCCGCGAACGCTCTATCGAAATCTCTGTCAACGAACCCTCTCCTCATCGACGTCAATCTCCATCCCGCGCAACCCATTCGTACTACGACGGCTGAGTACTGCGCCAGGCAGCTGCAGCACGAGCAAGGTTCTCCCGCCTCGTCAGATAGCCACCAGCACGTTCTCGACGTATACACACTTGAAAATGTCCGACGCAGACTACGCGGCGTTCCTGGACAAGGCGAACCAGGACCCCAACGAGGGACATGCCACCACGACCAGCAAGAGCAAGGAGTTCAAGGCGCAAGACAAGGGCGTCGAGGTACCCAAGGCCATTCAGGACGTGTTGAAGCAGGATAAAGTGTACATCTCGGACGCGGATGAGCCGTTTGTCGGCGTCGCGCTGCAGTGGGATGAGGCTGGCAAAGGTTTGCCGGACGAAGGTGAGTTGTGCCGTGCCTGCTGCCTCCTGCCTCCTGCCCTTTTCACGCCAGGGGAGGGGAAATATGCCTGCGATGTTTGCAAGACAAAGTGACTAATATATGACATGTGTAGTCGAATTCGCGCAACTTATCGATCACCCCAACGCCGAGAACGCGGACGTGGAGCTCCTGGACCCCGTGGACTGGGACTCGAACGGCGATTACAAGGACGTCATTGAGGCGGTCCGCAAGGCGGGCAAGGGCAACGACGTTAGAGTTTACAAGGTGCCAAAGGGCGGTGTCCGGACGGAGTACTGGCTCGTCACGACGGACGGGAAGGGCAAGGAGGCGAAGCTCGTGGGCGTCAAGGCGCTGTCTGTCGAGAGCTGAAAACTTCTCTTCCGGCCAGGTACCATCAGAGAAAACGCGAGGAAATGTAAGGCGGGACGGCAAGAAATGGGGTAGCCGGTTAGCTTGGTCCTCTAATGGTTTGATGAATGGTGACTGATTGATATGTAGCAAAAACGCAGCTCATGTTTGTACAGCAATAAGGTATCATCAATTATAGCTGAATTCTCGCCTGGAAAGGCGTGTCTTCTTTCTGACCGAACTCATTTACCATACCTTACCGGGGATACGTGAGCTGTCTTGACTCTCTTACTCATTCAGGTCATCGATCTAGACCAGATTGGCGGAGCAATGGGCTGGCGGTGGGGTCCCGTTGTGTCACTGATCCTTGACGCACACGCAGCGGAGGTGCCACTAATGGCAACGCCTTGTCTCTCACCTTATCGAAGCGCAACGGCAGCCAAATTCCGCGTTATCGGACCCTACCACCCTGCCTGGACTATGTGTGACCCCTCCACGTATCGGAGGCTAAATAATTCAATACAAGTCCAACCTTTTGGATGCTGGTGACTCAGATCAACAAACCAAACACACCAACTTGCTCTCCACGCAGCGACTCACCGACATATTCCCAGCTTCGCCAACGGACCGGATCAGAATGTCGGGACCGGTAAGTCTTGCCAGTTCTTCAATTGACCTCCCGCCGGCCTGCTACAAGAAGTCAAAAGACACACAAAAGCTAACAATACCGCCTCACAGCGCGCAGTCGTACCGTCCCTCGAGACGGTCAGGTCCATCCTCACCTCCCCGGCCACGACCAACGCCGCAAAGAAGCCCACGCTCGTCCCCGTCTACCGCCAAATCTCCTCCGACCTCATCACCCCGTCCGCCGCCTACCTCAAGGTCTCGGCCCACCATAAGGACTCGGACTTGTCCTTCCTCTTCGAGAGCGCCGCCACAGAACAAGTCGGCCGCTACAGTTTCGTCGGCGCCGGGCCCCGCAAAGTCCTCGCCACGGGTCCCGGCCATGGCCCTGAGTGCGACCCCCTGCCGGCCCTCGAGGCCGAGCTGGCACAGCACGTAGTCGCCCACGTTCCGGGCTTGCAGCTCCCGCCCATGGCCGGCGGCGCCGTCGGCTACGTGGGCTACGACTGCGTGCGCTACTTTGAGCCCAAGACGGCGCGGCCCATGAAGGACGTCCTGCAGATCCCCGAGTCCCTGTTCATGCTCTTTGATACCATTGTCGCGTTTGACCGCTTCTACGGCGTCCTCAAGGTCATCACCTACCTCCACGTCCCCGAGGACGCGGCCCAGCTCGAGGCCGAGTACCAAAAGGCGACGCAGACCATTGACGAGCTCGTCGCCGTCCTCAACAGCCCCGACATCCCCATCCCCGAACAGCAGCCCATCAAGCTCGGCCAGGAGTACACCTCCAACGTCGGCCAGCAGGGCTACGAGTCCCACGTCACGGAGCTCAAGAAGCACATCGTAAAGGGCGACATCATCCAGGCCGTCCCCTCGCAGCGCTTCGCCCGCCCGACCACCCTCCACCCCTTCAACATCTACCGCCACCTCCGGACGGTGAACCCCTCCCCCTACCTGTTCTACGTAAACTGCAAAGACTTCCAAATCGTCGGCGCCTCCCCCGAACTCCTCGTCAAATCCGAGGCCGGGCGCGTCATCACCCACCC